CATCCTGGCATAGGAAAATGTGGGAGGTGCCTTTTAGTTAGGACTGGATGTGCAAGAACGCTTCCAAGAGAAAGTGAAATCTAAGAAAGTAATGGAAACGTATCGGAAGTTAATGAGATGGAGAGGGTCAAGGGAAGCTGGGAGAAAAGAATATACTATAAGCAGGAAAAAGCATATCAAAAAGCTAACGGATGAAAATAGAAGCGCGAGGATGGATGCAAAGGAGAAAGTGATGAGTGGGAGAGCAGCAGAGATGGAATAAGATGAATAAAGAAAGGGTGAGAGGGTGACAGAGAGGGACAGAGCGAGGAAGAGAAGAATAGAGAAAGAGGACGAAGGGGAGAGAGTAAGGAAAAGGGAAGGGGAGAAAGGAGAAAGACAGATAGGCAGGGCAAGGAGGAGACTGAAAGGGAGTTCTGAGCAGGGAGGGGTACATCTGCCACATCCGGGTCTTCAGTTTTAGAAAACTGGAAAGACATGAAAGTGTTCAGAGCATTTTGGAATTGTGGAAATATTACTTCTTCTGTAGCTACTGTAGAGGAAACAGTAGCTATTATAGGGGAAACAGAGTCTCAGGTTGGCAAGAATGGAAACATGGAGATCTATTTAGGAGACTATGCAAGAATTCAGAAAAAAATTAAACACCTACAAGAATGCTGGAAGTAAGAGTGACAAGAAGAGGTTAGAATCAAGAATGTGGCGAACTTACACATTCATTGGAACAAGGAGGCAGAGGATGAAATTATTCTTATTCTTTATCCAGACACAGCAAAATAAATACTGTCATAAACTTTCAAGAGGAGAAACGGGCTGGTATCCCTGTGTTGTAGGTAAGCAAGTTTAGAGTTATGGGAATAAGTCAATACAAATGTTTTAATCTCTTATCTCTCTTCACATATTCAAGATCAGAAAAATGTTCTGGCTATTGTATAACTTCTAATTTTCTTACATTATTAAAAAAAATAAAGAAATATGTGTATTGGCTTGAAATGCTAACACAGAATGCTATTTTTCTCATAAATATTTTCTTACACAAATGAAACATATTTCCAAAACTATAGGTGAATTAGAAACATAATAGAGGTGACAGTGGAGTTCCAAGTTAGAAGATGAATTGTTCCAATTTGCTAATTTATCACTCTAAGCCTGAATAAAATATTCTTTTATTATCAAAACAAAGATAATTTCTTCAGATAAATTTTTTTCTCTGAAAATCTTTGTGTTCTTTCATCACACAGCTTCACCATCTAAAATGAGATGAGAAGTAAAACTCATAAAGTTAATTAGCATCTGGCTAACATTTACCATAACTAATCATTCAGCATTTTTTGCCACACATATTTTCCATTTACTTTTCACAAGAAATTAAAAAAGGAGGTCATCAATATATGTTGTATACAGCAAATTACTGGTCATCTAGGCTTTAAATTGTTAGTGGCATTCTGACTGGTCTTTGATAATATTAATTTATAAGTCTGAAATGAACTATTTATACCTTAATGTGCTATTTGTCATTAGAGACTATTTATACTTCTCTCCATTTCTGCCACACCACTGTATGTTACAGTTTCAGCAAGTATAGCATTCCATGTCTCTGTGTACTCTGGTCCCCAAGTTTCAAATGTACTAGCACAGTTTTAACCAATTTTTTAGTCTGAAATGAATTAAACCTACAACTGGGATGCAATGATAATTACTGGTGATTGGGATACAAAAGGTGGAAAGAAAGAAGAATCTATGATTGAAAAATATGGTTTAGTTATAGAAATGGTGATAATAAATTTTTTTATGGCCAACAACTTATTTGTAATAAATACATTTTTAAAGCTATAAATGGTTGAGTATAGGCCTCAATAGGTGGGATACACAGGAATCAAACTGACTGCATATGTTCAAAGAGATAACTCAGTATCATTAGAACAAGGATAGAAGTCAACTGTGAAACAGACCATCAATTGCTCACAGGCATGATCAAGTTTAAGTTAAAGAAAATGAAGAGAATCCACAAGAGCCAAAATATGACTGAGCATATCCTACCAGAATTTAGAGACCATTTCAATGGATTTGATGCACTGAACATCAATTACTGAAAAAAAAAAATTAGTTGAGAGATGAAGGTATCTTACATTAAGAAAACAAAGGTCATTATAAAACCGGAAAGAAGAGATTCTGAAATTTGTTCTAGAATATAAAAAACTAAAGTGAGAAGAAGAAATGATAAAGCAAGAGCTCTTAATGGACTATTTCAAGGGGTCACCTGAGACTACGAAGTCTTATAATGAAAGGATAAACAGTTTGTTTTAAGAAAATTAAAAGGAAAAGCACACTTGGCATTTCTCAAACGAAAAGAATTATATAAAAAAATTCAAGCCTCAACTGTAATATTGAAGAATTCTGTGGATAACATATTGATAAACCCAGGAAGCATCAAAAGCAGATAGAAGGAATGAACAGTCACTGCACCAAAAAAACCTGATCTATACTCAACCATTTCAGGAGGCAGCATATGATCAAGAACTACTGGTATCACTGAAGGGAATAATTCAAGCTGAACTTTTCACTGAAAGTACTGACAATAAGCAAGATTCAAGGAATAGATGGACTATCAATTGAGATGTTTCAACAAATGGTGAAGAGCTGGGCATGCTTACTCATTTAGGCTAAGAAATTTGAAAACCAGTTATATGGCCAACAGATTTGAAGAGATGCATATGTGTGCCCATAACTAATAAACCCAACAAATCAACATGAGATTCAAAAGAATGTGGAAATTAAAGAACACTATCATTAACATCACACACAAGTAAAAACTTTCTTAAAAGATTTAAAAAAACATGGTTGAAGCAGTATATAATTAAGAAACTGCCAGATATTCAAGCAAGATTCAGAAGATGTGGAATGAGGGGATCAGTGATGACATATGAATGTTGGCTGAAACTAAGAATACCAGAAACTGTTTAACCGTGTGTGGGATTTTCTGGCTATACAAAGAGATCTGAATGTCTGGATCATAGTTAACCAATTATGGATAACATTGAGAAGAATGAAAACTTCAGAATACTTATGGAGCTTATACAGAACTTGTACATGGAGCAAGAAACAGAAGATACTGTGTTTTTAAATCACAGAGGGTATGTGTGAGGAATGCATACTTTTACCATACTTATTAAATTTGTATGCTGGGTATATATCTGAGAAATTGGAATATATGAATAAGAATGTGACATCAGAGCTGGAGGAAGACTCATTAAAAACAGACACACAGATGACACAGTCTTGATAGTTGAAAATAAAGATTTGGAAGATGAAGATCAAAGCCTATAGCTTTCACTGCAAACTATACCTCAACAATCAGAGTAAGACAAAAATTGTCACAATCGGACCAATTAGCAACATCATGATAAATGGGGAAATATTCTAAATTCTCAAGGATTTAATTTTATTTAGATCCACAACCAATACTTTTGGAGGCAGCAGTCAAGACAAAAACAAGTGCTCGCTTTGGGAGCACATATACTAAAACTGGAATGATACAGAGAAGATTAATATGGCCCCTGCACAAAGACGGCATGCTAATTTGAGAAGCATTCTATATTTAAAAATAAAGAAATAAATTATCCTCTTTGATAAATGTTATAAATTGTCTCTTTAAAGAGCTGAAGAGCAAAATAAAAGGTTATCACTTTGAGGTCTTAGGTGTGCCTGACCTTAGCCATGGCATTTTCAACTGACTGATACGTATACGAAAGTTGAACAGTGAGTAAGAAGAACTGATGCCTTTGAATTGCAGTGTTGATAAAGAACACTGTTTACAACAGAATTGTTGTGGACAACAATATAACCAGAATGCTTGTTGGAGAAGAATGGTGAGTCTCACACCCTCTGCCTTCAGGAAGGGTCATTCCCTGAAGAAAGGTATCATGTGTGGTAAAGGAGAGGGCCAGCAAAAATGAGGAGGATCCACAATGAGACGAACCAGTGGCTGCAATAATGGGCTCAAGCGCAACAGTGATGAGAAGGTATCAGTGATATCCTGGTGCGCAGGACCAAGCAGCACTTCATTCAGTCATACAGAGACCCGATAGCATCTAATATCAACAGTGAAGAAAAGGATATTTAGTGGTACATTACAAACTTAGCTGATAAGCAGAAGTTTGTTTGAATCTATGTAGTGGTTCGAAAGGAGATGATCTGGTGATTTGCTCCCATAAAGTGATAACCTAGAAACCCCGCTGGGACAGTTCTGTAGGGTTGCTACGACTTACAATTGACTCAACAGCATCTGACAACAACATGTGCAGAAAAACTGTGGCAATAGCTCCTCCTTACAAGAACCTATTACTGTGATTTGAAATGCGAGTTAAAATGTTATGTCTTTGTTCACTAGGCTTTGGAGAGCTATTCTACAATCACTGCCAATTATCTAAACCATTTCCCCAACAATCAGCCTCTATTTTTTTAAAAGTTTGAACCATTTCGATTTCACTTCAGGAAAAGTGGTGCTTTGAATTCAGTTTAATTTTGTCTATATGGTCAAGTTGCCATACAAATTGAAACAGTGAAATGGTACTGGTTGTGAGATTCGCAAACGGCCACTCTTAGTTAAGGATTTAACTGTAAAAGAGTAAGGTATGATTGTCGAAGAGGAAATTTCTGGCCAGGATCAGAAAATGTTCCCAAATGTAGAACAGGCAAATGACAAATGCAAAAATGGATCCCTGTGGAAAAGAGCAACCACCAGACTACAGAGTAATTTAGGAAGCTCTCCTATTACTCCCCGCCAGTGCAGCATGGGGAAATATTCACCTTTATTCCATAGCTTTTCACTTACCAACTTAAATGTCAGTGTTTTTAATGCTTTGGGATCATCTACAATCTTCTGCAAATTAGCAGCCACTGCAAAATAGAAACACAAAGAAAAAAAGTTCGAATTATTTTCAATAGCACTAGATTTTCACTCAGTGATTGAGAAAACATGACTAATGGTGTAATAAATGGCAAAATAATTTCTTTTACAGGCATCATAAAATCTGCATAAATGACCAAATTACTCTCGTGAAGATATTTTCTATAACCTACATCTTCAGCAATCTTGCATCTGTGCACATCTGAACTCATAACTGTCAACCCTACATTTCAAGACAACAAGAATTTGAAATTTCTTTCTACTGAGAAGTAGAAAATGTAGAAGTAAAAAATGCAGCACCCGGTGTTACAACTTCTTGTATACCAACGAAGGAATTTTTCTTTTACTTTTCAAAGAGAAGAGCGAATGGGGGGTGGGGGTGGGGTGGGGTGGGAGGGGAGAAAAGTGCAACAATGAATGAATGGAAATCCAAAATCTCTGTAAATGTTCATTGAAATTAATAATAATTAAAAAAAGTTAAAAATTACCTTTAATTACCAAGAGAGGGTGATATAACACAGAGAGGGAATATTTTAAAAGAGTGAGTTTCTATACAAGTATAAAGTCAGCACATTTAAATTCTTGGTTTATCAATTCACCTATTTCTCTGCACACAATTATATCAAAGCAACTAAATACAGACAATTACCTCAGACTCAGGCAAGTTTTCATGCTTTCAAGAGAACAATGGCCAGGGAAGGGCTATCCTGAACGGTAGCTGAACAGGGTAAAGCAGTCGAAGCTGTTTGGAGCTGAGGACTGATGATATGTTTCAGTAATAGCCAGGTACATTAGAGACTTGTTTTATTCCTTGTCGTAGGATGATGTATGTGATATTCTAGTAGAGGAGGAACAGGCAATTCTGGTAGCCTACTGAGTAAGGATTTGGCTAAGCCAAAGGCAGAAGGTTCGATTCCACGAGCTGCTTCTGAGGGACAAAGATGGGCAACACCCTCCTAAGAGATTGAAAGCCTCTGAAAACCTGCTGGAGGGCCAGCTGTGGGTCATCCCATTTTGAAGGCAGAGAGGGGTGGAGGAGGCAGCTTTTCCTGCTTACTCCTTGACACAGGCAACTGCTTACTGATAGAATCATCAAGAGGCAATTATGAGTAAACTAACTCAGTCTCATAAGGACAAATATTGCATAAAACGATTACTGTAAAAATAGGATAATGAGTATAATGTGCATGGAGATCCAAAGGAAGGAAAGAGTGGGAGTAGAGGGGTAAGGACAGGCAGGGGCAAAACCACAGGGTTGCAACATTTTGGTGTGTGGATTGGAGGGGGTGAAGGAAATGAGAAATAGCTGGCAGGGCCCTGAAAAGACAAAGTAATGGTGGGCATAGTCCACTGGTGATTAATTTTATAAAACATAATGAATGGGGATGATTATATGAAACACAATGTGAATAAAGAATAGTGTGAAACACAATGTATATGAACTTTGTAAGCAAACCAATATAAAAAAGAAAAAAGGTCATGATGAAGGAAATGTAAAGTTCTCTCCTTCCTATGTCCAAACATAAAGCACTTCCGAGTAAAGGCTATATGCAGGCTAAGGGAGGGGAAGGTCCGACTGGGAAAATAGGAAAGAAGGTCCTAGTGATTTTTCAGGAGAACTATCGGCTGCTTCAGTTACTGGGTATCTGAGGGGTAAAAATCTACTTCAGAATACTATACTTTCCAGATAAAATCCTTGTAGGAGAGTATGTTTGAGGGACAAAATTTATTAGTAGAGAGCAGAGAAATAGTCCGTTAACTGTTTCCTCTAAGGTTGAGGGAAAACAAACTAGATACATGGATTTTGTGCAGATTAGTTTACTGCATTTAATCTATCTGCTGCAGAGAAGGAAGGAAAAAAAATGATACACTCAATTTGGCCTATTTCTCTTTATAAACCATAATTACAAGCATCATTTTATCTTCATCTGTTGCCTTCTCAATAGTTGAATTCTAACTGACCTACAAAGTTTTCACTTTTACTAATGTTCCTCCCCTCCAAACTTTTACTTTGGCCCACATAAGCAAATATACACCACCACTCCTCTCTATCCCACCCCACTCAAGCTTTATCCTGGACCACCTCACTGCAGTCTTCAACAATCTTCCTCTGGCTTTCATCCTGAACATATTTTAGAAAACAAATCAGCAAGTAATTCACTTAGGAAACATTGGATGGCAGAGTGGAAAGCTGGCTGTGAAAGTCTGCCCACCGAAGCCAGTCTGTATGGTGTCAGGGCATTCTGACTACATGCAAATGTCATCAACTGAGCCCAGTGCACATTTTTTTAATACATAAGAGTTCTAGCAGTTCCTTTGATTTGGACTGGTATCATGAGTAGCCATAAAGTCTTCATATGAATTTCAGTCCTTTCATTAGAGCCTCTCAGTTAATGTGGATGATTTACTGCCTTGTTCTGGGTCATCTATTTCCAGGCTGCTTGCTAATGTTGAGCCAAAAGCCGAGCTCTGTCCTCCACTAATTCACAAGCCTCTCTCTGATGCAGACATGTGTATCAGGGCCAATTTCCAAGGCCTGCTGCGACGCGAAGTGTATACTGGAGGGCAAGACTGAGCTGCGAGCATCTTAAACAATCATCTCAGAAACCAAAATTCTCCAATTGTGACTCCCATACCTTGGAGACATTAGAAATTCAAAATTTATCTTCAGCTCCAAGCAAAATTAGCAAAACTGGCCACTTACCTGATTACTTATCCCAGCTGCTAGGCTTATTTTCAATTTAGTTGATTCTAATTTATTGTAAAGTGCTATAAAATACCTTCATTTAACTGACATCACGCAAAATTCAGGGTGATGCTAATTTCTCTTTCCGTCGCAATGCTCATTAAAAAGATGGGTGTCACTGTTTCCTCCCTTCCCCTGACTGTGCACCTGGGTTTCAAAAATAAAAGTGCTCCTTACCTGGCACGTGAGCTAATAAGAAAGAGCTGGGTGCTGGGTACGGCTGGTTGGTAGGAGCGTCTCGAGTAAGCACTAATAATGCTGAACTTCCTGTTTATGATATTTCAGTCTCCAGAAAAAAGATAGGGCTTCTGAAACCCACTTACTCTGTGGCTATCAACTCGTCTGAAACCTCTCCTAGCTTCCCCAAATAAAACTCAATCCCCCCTGTTCCTGATGCTGACTTTATCTCCCTCTTTGAGCTCTTCTCTTCCTCCTTTTACCATCGCACAAGTGCTTCCTCTGCCTTTTAGCCAAACAGGGACCCCGTTAATACCCTTCAAGACTGTCCTCTTGCCCTATCACTGAGGCTATGTGGCTTCTATTTGCTCAAAACATGAGCGATTTACCTTGTTTGTTCTCCTCACCCCCATTTTCTTTCCCTCTGTCATGCTTTAGGCATGAATACTTGACAGGGCTAGAAATTTCTATTTGCTCTTTTGGGTAACATTTGGCCTCAGGTGCCATAAATATTGTGCTTTATGAAAATGTAATAATACCATTAACAACCGCATGGAAAAAATGCTGGGCACCTTCACTCCTCCCTGAATCTAAACAGAAAGGAAAATTGTCCTGAGGGGTAGGTATCAGAGGCAAGGCTGCAAAGCTGACATTTCTTTGGCAAATCAAGCCGGGCATTCTCTAGGCACTATCTTCTCTATAAATTCTTACACTCCTCAAATTCTCCACAATTTGACAGTTTGAAAAGTAACAGTTATATAATGATTATTTACTGTCTGTGTTTGTATTTTGAGTAATTAGTTGAAAGATAACACTTTTCACCCTAGACACCAGTATAGTTTACAACAGCTCCATAAAGTATTGATATACCGGTGGCAGCGTGAGTTCATCTGAGCCATTTCCAAACAGAAGTTGTGGCAAAAGAACACTGATGAACCCCAAGTCTGATGTAACCCTAATAGTAAGAAATTCTGAAATAAGGTAAACGGATGATCTTACAAGGCAATCATGTAACCATAGTGCTTTGTTCAAAGATAAACCCTAAATACTCCTTCTTCCTATTCCAGTGCTGCAGATACAACAAGGGATTGCAAAGAGGCATGAGTGACAATAATCAAGTTTAAGAAGAAAAGGGGATGTGAAGGTGCGTTTCTTAATGATATTTCTATAATATACTGCAAAATTATGACTAACAAATTTTGCACAAAATAAAAGAGATCCACCTCACTGCTTCCCCTAAATATCAGGGTTCTTATCTATGACAAGCACCATGATTAAGATGCCAATGTTCCATGAGAGAATACTGGGCACAACAAGTCACTGCTTTCAAATCTCTTGAGTATTTTGTATGCATATAAAGACACACATTTTCCCCCCTCAAGTATGGATGAATTATATTTGAAGTAAAGCTCATATTTTTATCATTGTACTGAGTTGAAAGCTGCAGAAATGGGAGTGGGGGGGCGCAGAAAGGTCTGTGTTGGGAGAGGAACAGCCAGTAACCATACAGAAGTGAGAATGGTCTCATATTCTTTGGCTGTATTATCTGGAAGGATTATTCCCTGTGAAGGACACCATGCTTCTTGGTAAAGTAGTTGTGGGTCAGCAAAAATGAAGACCCTCTTTGAGGTGGACTGACAGCGGCTGTAACAAAGGGCTCAAACAGCAACAACTGTGCCCATGGTGCAGGCTTGGGCAGTGCGCCGTTCTGCTGTGAAAGGTGTCACCATGAACTGAAACCAACTTGATGACACCTAACAAGGAGGAAGACTTAAAATCACTAGACTTTGAAGACTATGTAGTCTCTATTTCATGTTTTGTCATACTCCCTGTAAGAGGTTAAAACCTTTTAGAACTTTCAAAAGTTTTGAGATATGTTATGTGCTGTCAAGTCTACTCCAACTCCTATCCTGAGCTAGTCTTGCTGCCTCTGATACACCTACTCCCATTACACCAGTTACTGTGTGTATCCATCTCATCTAAGTTCTTCCTCTCCTGCATTGTCCCTCTGCTCTTCCCAGTATGATTTCCTTCTCCAAGGACTGGTCCCTCCTGGCAACGCAGTCA